ACTTTATTTTGGGTTGCAATTTTTTAAATGGCTGTAATTTGTAAAATACAAATTTTAAATGGCTATAATTGACAAATTTTCTCAAAAGATAATGAAAGAAACTCTTCAATATCATTCTTCATCCCTTTGTTCTTTCGTGGCAAACTATTCATTCTTGCAAAGCATGACTAATTCAGTGGAACAAATAATATGGGAATGAGGCCATGAGGGAGTATAGATTTATGTAATATAAATCATGTGTTATTGCATTGGATCATCGATTGGCCTTTTACGTTTTAATTTATATTTCCAAACTAATACTTTTATACAAAGTATGTGTCCTCATTTTTATAATATAGTGTTCATTTTTACATTTTAAGGTCGGATTTTAATAATTTTAACAAAATATTCTCATCATAAATACAAAATAAATAGTAATGTGAGAGATTAGATTTGTCTCAATGTGTAATTTTTTTTTTTTTTTTTTTTTTTTTTTTGAGAAACAATGTGTAAATTTATAATATAAATAAACTTTTAAAAATTAGAGTTAGAGTAGAACATGAGATAATACTTGCAAGCGAAAAATGTATACATTATGCTACATTTTGACTCAAATTAAGTGTTTCAACTAATTTTAATACTCAAAACATTTACTTTCCTCCATTAAGTTCTGACATTCATTTTTCTGCAATAATTAAAATTTACAATATGTTCAAGGTTGTCAAAATAAGGTTTTAACTATGATTAATGTCAAGTAATCTATTGACAAAATTATGTGAATTTCTTTTAATTGTGTTAATTTAATAACCATAATTAAATACTTTAAGCAAATATTCATATGAACTACATAATACTTTATTTAAAAAGCTCCATGTGTAAGAATAAATTAGCTTCTCATATTATCTTTAAACGTAAGATCGCATGTTCCTACAAACTTTTATATCCTACCTACAATCTGAATCGATCTCACAATTTTGAGGTATAGGATCGAATCAGGATTTTAATTACCATGCACACAACTAATAACTACTTTTAACAACCATTTCTACAGGACTCCAACTACATTTTGTCAAATATGACTGAAGTAGACACTATATTATGGAACGAGGGGTATAACCGTATAAGTTACACAAATGACATATAGTCAATGTTTCATTTATTTTGAAACAAAATGCTGGTAGATAGTCTACAAAATAGCTCTAAAATTCCCTAAAATATGTAATTATGTACGTGGATTTGGTGACACGAGATTCAATGTACATACTTAATGAATTAATGTGATTTCCTAGCTATAGACCTATTGCATAGATAGATCAATTAAATAAGCCAAAGATATTAATTAAACTTAGCAAAGGTTTTGACCTCTTCCATATCCGATTTTAGCGTTTAGTAATATTCCCTGCCTTTATTAAAGGATGGTAGCATAGAATGTGAGGTCTAGGACCTATACTACTAATCTCTAATTATTTGCGTATCATCATAAGCCATAATTCATGCTAATAGTATAATTATTTGCGAATTATCATTATGCATGTTGAGCGTAAAACCAATGTGGGTGAGTATATTTTGTGTATTGTATTCCGGCACATAATGCTTAACTTAAATTGGGTATTCGCTTTGTATTTCTGTAATCGAATTCGCCTATCACAGTCTAAAATGCATATCTGATAGGGGGAAGCAATTTCCGTATCTAGGACATCATTGTAATATTGAGGATGTTAAACAAACATTAAATTATTGGGTAGATAAACACGTGTTACAATAGAAATGACAAAAACAGACACACGCATATAGAAAAAAAAAAAATTGACAAAGTAAACAAAAAAATGACCAAAAAGAGGGGAAAAAATGTATCATTGACACAACTCAGCTTGTTTTAAGCCCAGATTGGCATACTTAGGCCTCATTAGTTGTGTTATGTGGGTAATGGACATTGATTTTGGGGCTTTAGATTAAAGAATATTGTTGCCGTATTCTAAGATTTAGATTTATTAACAACTGTTACAATTCAATTACTTGTATTAGACTTATAACTCATAAGTGAGAACAATTAAGTGTCATAAAAAATACGGCAATTTTATAAAATGACACCGAGTACTTAAAAAATTCACCAAATGCCATCGTGTTTTTCAGAATTCACCAAATGCCACTGACAAACAGTATAATGTCATGTCATGCCATTAATGAGGTCTGGCCGTTAGTTCTCCGTTACTGGGAATTGACGATTTTGTCCTTATTGTGTTTAATGGCGCCATAAAGCCCTTTGACTCCCTGAATTAACCTAATAACTTAAATAATTAAAAGTTGAGGAGTGGAAGTCTTCATCCTCTCACCCTTCCCTGTTCTACATGCAAGTCTTCATCAGTCAACCCTGCAATTCGATCAAGGTGGAAGCTTTTTCTAAGTCCAAATTTTGATCAGCAATTGGTAGTAGCACGAAGTAGTAACTGCGCTTGTATTTGGGGGAACTGAAGTCGTTGTTCGCAAGGAGGGGGAGCAGAGGTAGTCAATCGAAGCTTGAAAAGTGTTGTTATGCTCCCAAAACTAGCACGCAAGGTAACATTTTGTCCATCGATCTTCAATTCGAGTACCGATTTTGTCAATTTTTCCTGATAATCGAATTAGGGTTAGGGAATGGTTGGTTGAGTTAAATGTTGTGATGTTAAGTTTAAAATCATGTTGTTTTTACTGAATTATGGGTATGACTGTGGCGAATGTGTTTTTTTGTATGTTAGGGTACTAGTTTTCTGTGATTTTGATTCATTAAAATGAGATTTTGTGAAGTGTTAGAATATTATGCGGTTTAGCATGTGTGTGTGTGGATGTGAATTATGTGTGTGTTGAGTAACTTGGTAATTTTTGTTGATAGGATGAGTAAAGTGTGGTTGAATGTCCATTGTAGAGATGGTGGTTTTGATGTGTTGATTGATGATACAGACCGAACTAGTTTAATGGATTTGTTTGAGTTTATGTTTGAGGACTTTGTCAAGCAAAATATGTGGCTCCCTAAGTACTTTTCTCTGCTTGTTAACAAACCTAGAACTAATAGGAAACTGGAGTTATGTGTTGATGGTGATATGTTGAAAATGTGGGAGTGGAATGTGGGTAAGGAAACAATAGATGTATGGTTGGAGGAAAGGGAAAGTCCTGGTTTGGTGTTTAAGGATGCTGAAGCTAGTTAGCATAGAAGGTTAAAACAGAAAGCTGAGAGGGATAGGTTAGACACGGAAAAAAGAAGAGGTTAGCTGAAGAAGAGGAAGCTTAGAGAGAGCTTGATGAACAACAACCTTACACTATTGTTGTAGAGGTTCCTGTGGTAGTTGCTGAGGACTCAGGAGTTGAGTATGTTAGAGTGTTTCACACTCCATTAGCTGATGAGGTTTTCCCAGGCCCATCCCAGCCACAAGCAGAACATGGCTCCCAACCATCAACTCCACCAAAACATTATCAACCCACTTCTCCTGTTAACCACCCAGAACAAAAACTGTTTGGAAGAAAATGACACCTAGGAAAAGGAAAACTACAGCCCCACCACATACACCACAACCCTCTCCAAACACAGCAACATCCTTACCACATACACCACAACCCTCTCCAAACCAAGCAACATCTCCACCACCAACACCACAACCCTCTCCAAACCAAGCAACATCTCCACCACCAACACCACAACCCTCTCCAAACCATGAAACATCTCCACCACCAACACCACAACCTTCTACAACCCAAGAAACACCCCTACCCCAAACAGTACCACCTTCTACTACAATCTCATTTTCTAGTGCAGAACCTACAAATGCCTGTCCTGATAAACCTAAGAAGGGGGTTAGATCTAAACCCCCAGGTTTCAGAACAAAAAAGAGTGCTGGAAAAAAGGTTGCTGAGGGAAGTCAGGAGCAAGGTGTGAGTATAAGGAGATTAGGAAGAAATAGGAAGTCACTAGCTAGGGTTGAGACCAGTGATGATAATACTGAGGATGATAGATTTGATGATGATGATTACATAGAATCTGGCAGTGAGCTAGATGATGATGATGTTAATCTTGCCGACTTCATAGAGGAAGAATTTGAATGTTTATATGATGACATTCCTGAGAAGCAGTTCAACTATGGACAAGACTTATAAGAATGGCAAAGTCTGGACTCACCAAGAATTTGGAGCCATTACACTAGAGCCCTGGTTGATCTTTGCAGACAGAGAATCATTCATGGATGTATTCAAGGATTACTGTATATAGGAAGGCTTTGGTTTCTTTGTAGGAAAGAGTGACCCACAGAGGTATATTGCAAGATGTGCTATTGATTCATGCAACTGGAGAATTCATGCTTCTACAACGACTAACAAAGTCAACTGGGCAATCAAGACACTAACAGGGGAGCATAACACTTGTGGCAGGCTGGAGATTAACCCAATTGTGAGTTTTGATTGGCTATGCAGACATCTGCAATCAGATATTCAATCAAACCCTGACATTTCAATTGTGTCTTTGAAGAGAATCTATATGGAAAGGTTCAGAGTTCAAGTTGAAAAAAGGCTATTTTATAAGGTGAAAGCTACGACCAAGGAGATGATATATGGTTGTTTTGGAGAGGCATACTCCCTTCTTCCTAGATATGTTGAGATGGTCAAACAAACCAACCCAGGGATTTATGCTCTAGTTACATGGACACAAGCCTCTGCAAATGTGCAACCTAGATTCAAGGCTTGTTTTTTTTCTTTTTCTGCCCAAGTTAGAGGGTTTTTGTCATGCTGCAGACCTTTTATTGGCATTGATGGGGCCCATCTCAGTGGATATTATAAGGGAATTTTGTTAACAGTAGTTGGGATTGATGGGAACAATGAGATATTTGTGATTGCTTATGGCATAGTTGATACAAACAGTTATGACAGTTGGGGTTATTTTATGAGGAATTTGAAATGTCTATTTCAGAAGGAGGGCTGTAACAGAGATGATTGGACCTTTATTTCTGACAATATGATGGTGAACTAGAAATCACTACAACTAAGATTACGTTTTTACAATGACATGCACATTTCAGCTAATAAAGTTGATTGAATGTACATGCAGGGGGTTGATGCAGCAGTTCATGACATTCCCTAGAGCAAGTAGAAGAATATGCTGTCAGCACTTGTACAGTAACTGTAAGACAAATGGATTTGGTGGAACAACTTTTCACAAGCTCTTCTGGATTGCAGCTGATGCATACAATCCATATGTCATTAATAAAGTTATGGGGAAGATTCATGCCCACAATCCAAAAGCTGTTGAGTACTTGAACAATACCACAGAGGTTTGGTCAAGGCATCAGTTTGATACATCACTTTGTTGTGATCATAACACAACCAATTTTGTTGAATCATTCAATTCCTGCACCAAGCCATACAAAGATCTACCTGTTCTAAAACTTCTTGAAGGTAATTAAATGGTTTGTTGTCTACCAGCATCAGTTTGACAATGCTTTTGTTGTGTTACTTACCTTTAAATGGTTTCCACTTTTTAGGTATAAGGCAATGGTGCATGAATAGGATGGCTCCAAGGTTTGATAAAGCACCATCCATGGGTGATAGGGACCTCACTGAGTATGCAACCAAGATCTTGCAACAGAGATCTGATGAGTCCAGGTTCTGCTATGCAACTCCATGTGGTGGTGATGAGTTTGAGGTGAAGGACCAACATGTGCATTTTCCTATCAAGCTAGGGACTGGAACTTGTGGTTGTGGGAAGTGGCAACATTCAGGGATCCCATGCAAACATGTGCTAAGGGTGATTTACCACAAGAGGCTTCAACCTGAAGATTTTATATCTCCTTATTTCAAAGGGAGGGCATACAAAAGCACTTATGCTGAGCATATGCACCCAATTCCTGACCCAAGTCAATGGCCTTCATTCAACCTCCCTGACCTACTTCCACCACCAGTAAAAAGATCTGTAGGTAGATCAAAGAAGCAGAGAAGAAGAGGGCCAAATAAATCAAGGAAAGGGAAAAGGCATAGCACAATTAAGTGCAGCTTATGCAATGAGTTGGGCCACAACATGTTGACATGTGCAGCAAAGAAAAAGAATGCAGTAACTTAAGCAAGCTCTTCAAACAACAAGAAGAAAGCAAGGAAAGCTGCATGAACACCAAACCCCTCTTCTTTTGAGTTCCCAACAAAATTGTTTATGGAATCTAGTTTTTGAACATTAATAGTCAACTGTGTGCTGTATTATTGTGGTTTTTTTTTGACATGCTCTCTGTAATTTTTTGGGGATGTGATGTGAACAGGAAACCAAATTATTGGTGCACATGATTGAAACAGGAAGAATTAAGCTTAAATGAATGTTCAATTTACCACTTTATTCAATTTCATTACAATTACAATATAGTTCACTTCATCATTACAATAACAACTATTACACACATCACTACACCTAATTTCATAACAGAATTGAGAAATTTTTGCTACTGCTTCACTTTCTTCTTCAATTGCTTCAATTCAGCATGCAGATTGCTATGTCCCGACCCATCCTTATCATAACAGCTTCCTCTAATTTGACCTTCTTCCGGCTTGAAAACTTTGCACCATTTGAAGCTATTACATGAATCACACTTGTAATAAAGCCTTTGTGGATTAGATGTTGACTCCGAGCTTCTAATTACATATTTTCTACCACAATTGCCAAATTTGTTTGGAACTCTTACATATGCATGCTCATGTATTGAGGAGGACGTGTTTGATATCAAACTCATGATTATGCAAATAGAGAGCTACTATTTGTGTTCTAAGTGTCACATTTATACAAGAAATTGGGTGTAACGACTAGTTTACCCCAAAAAAAATTCAAAAAAAAGGAGAAACTAACTAGCCGTTAGAACTAATTAGTTATGAGGTATATTGTGTAATAATTTACATAAGTAATGGCATTTCATGAAAATTTTAAATTAGTCAGTGGCATTTGGTGAATTAAGATTCCCAGTAACAGAGAACTAACGACCAGACCTCATTAATGGCATGACATGACATTATACTGTTTGTCAGTGACATTTGGTGAATTCTGAAAAACACGATGACATTTGGTGAATTTTTTAAGTACTCAGTCGCATTTCATGAAATTGCCGTAAAAAATAATTCTCTAATCCAACAAGTATAAACAACAAAATCCATTACACCTTCCTTATACTCCCACTCGTATACTACCCAATTTATAGAGGATATACCAATCAAGCCATTTCTAGTCATCAATCTAGGCATAATCACATTGTTTTCATCAAATTAATGAATAAAAGGGAAAGATTTAATGTAATAATCATGACGAAACAACACTAGGAGCTCCCAAAAGGATACTCACCAATGGTGAAGGAATATTGTATATCAACTAAGGTAATTATATTGTGGTGCTAGTTAATCAATTAGATGAGCTAAGAAACTCATAACACTAATCATGAACGCGACAACTTTATATGGTATTTAGAAATAAATTTATTAGGAAAAAGACAATACAATATAATAGTATTTAGGATTACTTCCTCATAGATGCATGAAGTGAGCTAAAGTTCAATATCTCCCTTGATACTGGTGAGAAAATGAGCTCACACTTTATAATTAACTTTGGAAATCAATAAAATTAAACCAACTATTGTGTTTAGTTAAGATCTAAAATGGAGAATTGAATCTCCTTCAAAGTGGGTAAAAAAAAAAAATACTTCCAAAGCGACGAGACTAGTATTTAGAAAATTATTTTCCTAGGAATCTATACTGAAATCCCAAAGAATTTATATGTGGGGAGTTAATCAAATCCTCCAAAGAAAGATACAACCCTCGCATTTCATATTGTGATTTGCTAATGTGATAGGAGTGTTTTGTTATGGTCATTTTCAAGTTCATTCTAAATAATTCTGTTGGAGAATTTTAGCTCTAATATATGCAAATTGCAATGCAATATGGTCATATTGAGGGCGTCTCACCTTTTCCATTGCTTCCTTTTCTTTAACACTTCAAGTCATCTCTTGAATTGATTTGGGTAAAGCTAGAAAGGAAAAACCGTCAAGAATGATGATAGATTGACATTGAGATACATTGAGATTTGAAAATGGCGATGGTGATGGTGGAGTTGATGATAAACCTTTCAATCTCTTCACCTTTGCTAATTAAACCTCCTCCCCACCCCAAAGTCCTTTGTAGATTTACAAATGATAAGCTAAGAAATTTCCTTTGAAGAACACAAAAGCAAGATATAACCAACAAATGAGGCAATGGACTAGAAGGCAACTAATAATATGCTCTAAAACAACTTGGAAAACTACCTTAGAAGATATATTGTGCAACATATTAATACTGAATCGCAATACTTATCAGTCATGTTGAACTCGTAGTGAAATTAATTAAGTATTGATTAATCAAAACATGAGCATATTGATCCATTTGTTAACTCTACGTCCAGTACCAACCGTTGGTAACATGATTGATTGTGTTAATCAATCAAAACTTTTGTTTGAAATATCTATGGGTGATCGACTATTCAATGATCATTCATGATATTTACTTAAATGGAGTAGGGTCAAACTATGAAATATTATGTTTCTAGGCTATTCTTACTACCTTACCCAGTTTAAGCTGATCAATCTCAATATTCGAATTCAAAAAAGCTTTTAAGATTTCAAGTCACATGTAACCAATTCTCGAAAGACTCATGTTTAGGTTAATCCTTAGGCTTGATTTGGATTCAATTCATATCAAAATTATGATACATTACTTTCGTATTGAAATACATCCATGAATTCATAGAAAGAAAAAAAGAATTTAGATTTGGAAATTATTTATTTATTTTTTTTTTTTTTTTTACAGGTAATGATTTCTCTTTCCAAGTACCAAGTGGCCCACAATATGGGCATGAAAGGCAAAACTTTGTTGCTATAAAACGACCTCAAAATCCCTCTCTCTCTTCTTGAGCTTTCACTTCTTCACTTCCCCCTTTGACCATCTCCCTCACCTTCTTCCTTCTCTCTCCCACTCTTTCATTCGGGTTTCCCAGCCCAAACCCACCAACCCAACCCGACCCTACCCGAATATCATAGTATCAAACAAATCACCCCATTTTCCCACATTGTGGGTAAATCGAGGTCACACACAAATTGAGAGACTAAATTTGACCAAACCAATTACCCTTTTTCATACTACTACTACCAAAACCAAAGTAGTGAGTTTATAAAACAATCTTTTCTTACACAAAAAAAATAAAAATAAATGTGTTTAAAAGAAAGATTCCTCTTCATTTAGTTCTACTTATACTTGTCCTTCATTCCAGATCTCATTAATGGCGCTTAACTAAGCGCAACGGTCACATAACATTAATCAGCTCGTATATTTCTTATTGATCAAACCCTTGAGAAACCAGATAAATCGATAAGTGAAGTATTGTCATCAATGACGCAGTCTACGGCCGATGGAAAAGCCGTGGCCGAGGCCGAGAAGAAGAAGGATCAAACACTACCATTCTATCAGCTGTTTACATTTGCTGATAAGTATGATTATCTTTTAATGAGTATTGGGAGTTTAGGTGCTGTTATTCATGGCTCTTCTATGCCTGTTTTTTTCTTACTCTTTGGTGAGATGGTTAATGGGTTTGGTAAAAATCAGCTTAATCTTCAAACTATGACTCATGAAGTGTCCAAGGTAAATTATCTTTCGTTTTTACATACACTCGGGTGTACCTCGAATTGGTTCTAACTTAATTAGCTGAGTGGTTTTTATTTTTTCATTTTTGAAATGAGCAAATAGATAGCCTTAATCGTGGAGTTTATAATGAGTGGTCTATCTTTATTAGATCTCAGATCTTTTTTTTGATATTCTAGTTTTAAATCTTACTTTGATTTATTTGTATTTGTGCAGTATGCTTTGTATTTCGTCTACCTTGGCCTCATTGTATGTGCCTCGTCCTACGCAGGTGAGTTTGTTTTATAATTGTACTGTTCATTGCAAATTGCATTACAATTGATAAGTTGCCTTAAAATCCTATTAACTTCATTATTTTCTTAAAATTAAGCTACTATTTTAGTAGCATGTATCATACTATTATGTTATAGTAAAGCTAGTTTAATCCTTCTCTTGTCTGAAATTAGTTGTCATATTATCGTAATCTTTTACTAAGACTTGTTAAATGATTTCATACTTCTTATGATTTTTATTAATAAGAACCTTGTATGATAGTTAAGTCTCTTCTATCTTCTTATCACCTTTCATTCCAAATGGGTGTGAAACTGTGAATAGAAATCATATTAGACTTCACTACTATTTTATAAATGTGATGTTTTCGGACATATTAAAACAGTATATGTGACAATTATTTTTGGACGCGAAAGTGAAGTGATGGAAGAGTGTAACTTGAATCAAAAAATTGAAATGAAAAAGGGTTAAATTTTGGTACTATGACTTGACGAAATTCTTACTGTTGGGTATTCTTTAGTGATGCTAACTAAGCTTCATATCACAACCATTTGTTAGGTGTGAGCTCTGCACGTGGTTCGTGGACCGTCCTTTTGTCGTTTTTATCTTTTATCTGTCAATTTTTATTCATTTTCTTGATATTTTAATTTAATTATTTTTTTTATTAAAATTATTATCCCCACAAGTCACAACATCCCCATCACTAATATTCATGTTTGTTATTCTTTCAATAATTAATTTTATGATTTATCTATTATTGTGGGGTTACAAATTGGTTTTAGTAGATAAATAAAAGAATTTCTCAAATTTTGATTGTTTTTATTTGGATTTTAATAATTGTAGAAATTGCTTGTTGGATGTACTCTGGAGAAAGGCAAGCAGGAACATTGAGAAAGAAATATTTAGAGGCTGTTTTAAAGCAGGATGTGGGGTTTTTTGATACCGATGCTAGAACTGGTGATATTGTCTTCAGTGTTTCTACTGATACACTTCTCGTCCAAGATGCCATTAGCGAGAAGGTTCGTGTACATTTCTTATCGGAACTTAACCAAACTTGTTAGAACTTATCAGAACTTGTATGAACTTGTTAGAATTTATTGAAACTTATCTGAACTTGTTAGAACTTATCGAATATTAGTGTATATGAACCTATTAGAACTTATATTACGCGAAACATGGTTTTTATGAAGGCGAAAAGTACAAAGTGAAAATCTTTAATAAAGGGAAATAGTGAGGTCAACAATAGTGGAAACAACATTATTAATCTGAATAGTACAAGTTTGATATGATTCAACTATTCAATATCAATTGTAAAGCTAAGGCCCACCCTCTCATTCATGAGTGTTATGAAGCACGTTAGAAATCTTGCCTTATCAGGCGCCCTGATATATCAACTTTTACATGCTTCTTTTTATGCTTTGTTACTGTGAGTACTTCCCATTTTTATGATACTGATTCTTCATTTCAGTTATAACGTCTTTGTTGAAAATTCTATGTTCCTAAATTTGATTACAATGTTAAGTTATACAAGTTTATGCCAAGTTAGTTATGGGAAAATGTATATGTGATGGTAATGACAATCCAATATGCATATTTTCGGTATAGTGTGTCTATGTAACGTATCATCGTACCGGCCTTCCACATGCAAGGTTGTAGGATCGATTTTACGTGTCCTTGGTGTTGTATTTTACATAAGAAGACTCCGGGTGTAAGTACAAAGTTTGATGGGTGAATGATATATATATATATGCAGGTGGGAAATTTCATACATTATCTATCAACATTTTTGGCGGGATTGGTGGTTGGGTTTGTATCAGCATGGAAGTTAGCATTGCTGAGTGTTGCAGTTATTCCTGGAATTGCATTTGCAGGAGGTCTTTACGCATACACTCTCACTGGACTCACGTCTAAGAGTCGTCAGTCATATGCCAATGCTGGTATTATTGCTGAACAGGTCAGTCCCACACTTTTTCCTTTTGCAATTATTCAAGGGCATAAAATAGACAAAAAAGGAAAGGGGAGGGGCTGAATAAGGTGATTTGTTAGTGAGACTTTAGGTGCCATTATTTTGAATATGATATGTTGGTGTATTTTTGGAATGAACCCGGCATGCGTTTCGCGTTTTGTAGCTAGCTGGCTTTGTTTTTGAATCTTAATGACGACTCTTTTCCAACCCAAACACTTTTGTGAACTGTTGATGAAGCTGGACTGTAATTATCTCTTTGTTAAGCTGCTTGTCTTTATTGCACTGTGTCCAATTATAATAGAAATGATATGTAGAATTATTAAATAAACATAATAATCATGAGCTTATGATTTACGAGAAAGTTGGATTTGGGCTTGAATTTACTTTTCAATTCGTTTTTATAGAGCTTATATATTTGTTGATTATTCCGAAAATTTTTCATCTAGGCCATTGCGCAAGTTCGAACTGTGTATTCATATGTTGGGGAGACTAAGGCACTTGATTCATATTCCGATGCCATTCAAAATACTCTTAAACTTGGGTACAAGGCTGGGATGGCAAAGGGTTTGGGTCTTGGATGTACTTATGGTATTGCTTGCATGTCATGGGCCCTTGTTTTCTGGTATGCTGGTGTTTTCATCAGGAATGGGCAGACTGATGGAGGAAAAGCTTTCACTGCCATTTTCTCTGCCATTGTTGGTGGCATGTAAGATCAAAAGACATTTCACTCTCTACATCACTTTATTTTAAAGGAGGGAATGCAATAGAACAGGTTTTGACTTTTGTAACTTCATTATTACAGGAGCTTAGGTCAGTCATTCTCAAACCTTGGGGCCTTTAGCAAAGGAAAAGCAGCAGGATACAAGTTGATGGAGATAATCAAACAAAAGCCGACAATTGTCCAAGATCAGGCCGATGGGAAGTGTTTGGAAGAAGTTAGTGGAAATATAGAGTTCAAAAATGTATCATTCAGCTATCCTTCTCGTCCTGATGTGATGATATTTCGAGATTTTTCAATTTTCTTTCCTGCGGGAAAGACTGTTGCAGTGGTTGGTGGCAGTGGTTCAGGGAAGAGTACAGTTGTTTCCTTGATTGAGAGGTTCTATGACCCTAATGACGGTAAGCTAGACAATTGGCCTCACTATGCATACTGGAAAAAAAAGACAAATGAATGTTTTTGCTTAATAAAGATGCTTGCATAATAACAGGTCAGGTTTTGCTGGACAACAATGACATTAGGACATTGCAGTTAACATGGTTGCGTGGTCAAATTGGTCTGGTCAACCAAGAGCCGGCGCTCTTTGCCACCACCATTCTTGAGAATATTCTCTATGGAAAACCTGATGCTACAATGGCTGAGGTTGAAGCTGCTACCAATTCTGCCAATGCTCATAGCTTCATCACCTTGCTTCCAAATGGATACAACACCCATGTAAGATTCTATTTTTTTGTTGCATATTGGGGTGTTATCATTGTATTCCTGTTCTGCATCTAATTGATACTTTAGTAGAACCCTATGTTTATTCATCACTTTTTTTATGTGAATGCAGGTGGGTGAAAGGGGTGTTCAGCTTTCAGGTGGTCAGAAACAGAGAATAGCAATTGCTAGAGCAATGTTGAAGAACCCGAAAATTCTCCTCCTAGACGAAGCCACAAGTGCACTTGATGCTAGCTCTGAGAGCATAGTCCAAGAAGCACTTGACAGATTGATGGTGGGAAGAACAACAGTAGTTGTGGCCCATCGGCTTTCTACCATCAGAAACGTTGACACAATTGCTGTAATTCAGCAAGGACAAGTTGTCGAGACAGGAACTCATGAGGAACTGATAGCTAAAGCAGGTGCCTATGCATCATTGATCCGGTTCCAAGAAATGGTTGGAAATAAGGACTTCTCAAACCCCTCAACACGCCGTACTCGCTCATCAAGATTGAGCTGTTCTCTTTCCACAAAATCCCTGAGCCTTCGTTCAGGAAGCTTGAGAAACTTAAGCTACTCATACAGTACAGGTCTTGATGGCCGGATTGAGATGGTTTCTAATGCCGAGTCAGAGAGGAAGAATCCTGCACCTCGAGGGTATTTCTTTAGGCTTCTTAAACTTAATGCCCCTGAATGGCCTTACTCAATCATGGGTGCCGTAGGATCAATATTGTCTGGTTTTATTGGTCCAACTTTTGCTATTGTGATGAGTAATATGATCGAGGTTTTCTACTACTCGAATTATGCTTCTATGGAGAAGAAGACTAAGGAATATGTCTTCATCTACATTGGGGCAGGACTTTATGCTGTCGTTGCATACTTAATCCAACATTACTTCTTTAGCATCATGGGTGAAAATCTCACAACAAGAGTTCGTAGGATGATGCTTGCAGGTAGTTTATTAGTCTTTCTTTCTCTTATCTTTTACTCAGCTAAATTTAATCACTTTAGCATATGAAATGGATTGTGTTTTGCTTTGATTATGTGCAGCAATCATGAGGAATGAAGTCGGATGGTTCGACGAGGAAGAGCATAACTCTAGCCTCCTAGCAGCTCGCTTGGCAACTGATGCAGCTGATGTAAAATCCGCTATTGCTGAGAGGATTTCGGTTATACTGCAAAATATGACCTCACTTCTCACATCGTTCATCGTTGCTTTTATTGTGGAATGGAGAGTTTCACTTCTCATATTGGGAACATTCCCACTTCTGGTCCTTGCTAACTTTGCTCAGGTAAAAACACTCTTCACCTTGATTAATATGCAAAAGTTATCCCTCTTTTTACAATAATTCAAGTTTGTTTTAGATGCTGTGTAATTCTCATCATAATACTTCATGTTAGGACTAGTACTTGTCAAAAAAGTATTTCAAAAATAAACCACTAATAGTTAAAAGCTCACTAGTACAAATTTACCATTTTGCCCTTACTAAATGAATGCCTAGTTGTCCAAGGCCATTTTAACAAGAGAAACACGGTACATATTCACCGATTTGTGCTTATTACCATGCTTGCTAGTTACTACTTATCTAAGGAAATTAGAGTCATTTTAGGTAAATATTAGTTGTCTAACTGTTACGCAAATTAGTGGTACTCGTTTTATCTCTATGATAATGATAGGACTAAGGCATAGTACTTTGTAATTTGTATACAACTGTAAAATTTACAAAAGACGTAGGTAATGGGGTATGGAAAAAATGTCAAAGACCAAAGTATTAAATTTGTAAGTTGAGAGTGTCAGCCACCCCTGCAATTCTGGGGTTTCTGGGTTGTCATTTATTGGAATCTTATGTTTTCATTACTTGCAAAATAGTAAACGACAAAGACTCCCTCTTTCTACGCATCTGCCTTGCACGTGCTTTCATCCCCTTACATTTCTCTCAACCTTTGGAAATCCACACTAACCCTCTTTTAATAATGCATCTTGGACCGCAGTCTTCATATAATTTACTTCTATAATGCTAAACTTTGATCACTTTTTGAACCCACCAAAGCTTATATTATAATATTGACGTCACATACTTGTATAGTATAATGTATAATCCACAAGTACTTGGATCAGCTAATTTTGGTTATTCTAGCAACATTAATGATTTTGAGTTCAGCCTCGTCTTCACACTTAGTTGTAGTTTGAATTCGGATTGGTGTGTACTCTCTTGTCTCTTAATGTTGCCTTATGGAGTATTATTTTCCTTAAGAGTTTATTCATACTAAACAAAATGATTCTGGACATGGATAGCCATGTAACCATGTTCGACACGGATATGTGCCAAGTGTCAGACTATTTTGTTGAACTTTTCCGTAATTTTGGTCTAAATGGAAATGTAAAAGTGTCCTGTTTATGTCCAAATGGTGAAGATCCTAGTATTTGAGGTAAAATGACGAGCTGGAGTGACATAAGTTCCATACAGTTCAGTTATCTATCTCTAGGGTGTAGTCTCTCCCTTTAGTTTCCTTTACTGTACTTTCCGCCAAAAGATCTCACTTAGCGAATATGTTCTTGTAAAAATGTTAAATTTTTCTCTCCCCTAAATTTTTACTGAGTACTACAGTATACAATGCCTTTTAAAAACCTGCCAATTTCTTGGTATGAGATATGACACAGAAAGAGAGTGAAAACAATGTGATAGTTTCAAGAGATTCTTAGTCAGACCCGTGATCACATGCTCTATAATGTGAATTTCATGCTGACAATCATTCATCTTATGATTTTTCTTTTTTCTCTTTTGTTTTCTTCATCAGTAGCACATGATCCAAATACCCGATTCACCCTATCAATTTTAAGTCTTGTACACTATTTGCTCGGATCGAGTTTAGGTCGGTTGGGTTGGGTCATTATGGATATCGGTCCTGCTAAATTATTATGCCTACACAGATGAAATTCTAAATTGGGTCACTTTAAGATAGATTAGATAGTTTTATGTCGGATTAGTTTTTGACATCTCTTGTCTAATGTTACCCAACGAACCTGAACCGTACTAACCCTTATCAAGTTATCAACATTGCTTCAATAATGTGGCCTATGTTTTTACCTTTTTCCCTAGTAATATCAACCAAATGGTAAAAAAATATTCATATACTGTTTTTCACCACTTTTAACTGTTTAGGGTATTTCAGGTAAAAATTCTCTCTTGGAGTCCTACTTTTTTCCTTGTCCTAGAGTTCTGCAGAAACTAACGTTTTGTGTATCAGACCTAGATTGATCGCAATCTTTCCATATTTTATAGTTTTATTTTATTATATTGTGAAAATTGAAACTTCCAACATTTAGTCAAATTTATCAGTCCACGTGTCAGTCATTCAGGCCTTCTGTAGTTGTGGTCCTCTTGCTTCTTTTAATCAAGTTAGTTTCTGTATCTGACCCACCATGTTTGCAGAATTCAGTAACATGCAAAGCAACATTATTATATGATTTTAATAAGAGTGAGGAAATATTATAAACAGCCGTTAAAAATTTTGAACTCCTTTGTTTAAGTTATAATTGTACCTTGATTCTATTTCTTTTATTGCATAGACCCACTAATTCTTAATTGTAGCCTTGTAGAGTTGTAGAGGGATCAATGATCATTTCTCACCTTGATCCAGTACCGACCCAAAACAACCCGACTTAAGCTCAAGTGACCCGATCCATAGCATGACTCAATGCGAAATGACCCATTAGATTTGACTCAAACTTGACTGATAATCCGAATTGACACCACATTCCTAAATCCTAACTTGGTACATGTAGGGGATTTTTAGGGTTGTCTTTTATTTTGAAGTAGAAAAAGTTATCCAGGATTGAACTAGTGTCCAATCCCGGACCTGTATAAATTTTTAGAAAGGGGGTTGGGGGTGGTATTATGCAATAGGATGCTTTGTTATATTGCTATAAGAAAGTAACAATGTGGTATACTTTTCAATATTTTTACGTTAAGAATGATTATGATCATAATGTAATTCTAAGTACGAGTGTTAAAATTAAGACGGAGATAGTACACTAGTATGGACTATTAAGTGATTCAAGACCACTTGGTTATAGTGAATTAGTGATCATTATAGAAAGTAATCTGGTGACTGTTATTGTCAATTTTGCTTCCATGTGATTAGTTTTCATAAGATACTGCCTTTTCCCGACATTTAGCGTTATAATCGTAAACTGTTAATTGACATTACATGACTAAGTAGGGCTTTGATCTTTTTGAAGGAAAGTGACTGAAATTATGTTAGCACTAGCAGCTAGTCTTTGTATTTTTCCTTTGATTACTTGCTAATTTGGTGCATTGTTAAAAGCAATTTATGTCAAAAGAAGCTTGGTGGCAAAATTAATTCTATGCAATGGACTTGTACTCTTCTGGTTCGAATATTATCAGACTGTTCAATGGTTTCTCCTAGCGCCTTTTAATGTGGAAAAAGTTATTTGCTTTGATTTAGGCTGTGTTATTTAAGTGTAGCTAATGTAAGCATTACATTGTGGAGATTTCTAATGTGCTTTGCAATTGTGCTATCTGCAGCAACTATCACTGAAAGGATTCGCTGGAGACACAGCCAAAGCACATGCAAAAACGAGCATGATTGCAGGTGAAGGGGTGAGCCACATTAGAACAGTAGCTGCATTCAATGCTCAGGAGAAGGTCCTATCCCTTTTCTGCCATGAGCTTCGAGTGCCACAAAAACGTAGCTTCCGTCGTAGTCAAACTTCTGGCGGTCTGTTTGGTATTTCTCAGCTAGCTTTGTATGGTTCAGAAGCCCTCATTCTCTGGTATGGTGCTCATCTCGTAAGCAAAGGTTTTTCGACTTTCTCCAAAGTTATCAAGGTCTTTGTAGTCCTAGTCATCACAGCCAACTCGGTTGCTGAAACTGTGAGCCTTGCTCCTGAGATCATAAGGGGTGGAGAGGCTGTGGGGTCCGTTTTCTCAATCTTAGACCGATGCACAAGGATTGACCCAGACGATTCAGAAGCAGAACCTGTTGAGTCCATACGTGGAGAGATTGAATTCCGTCATGTTCATTTTGCATACCCTACTCGCCCTGATGTCCTTGTGTTTAAGGATTTCAACCTTAGAATTCGAGCTGGCCAAAGCCAAGCCCTAGTTGGAGCAAGTGGGTCTGGGAAGAGCTCAGTCATTGCATTGATTGAGCGGTTCTATGACCCATGTGGAGGAAAAGTTATGATTGATGGCAAGGACATCCGAAGATTGAACCTCAAATCGCTTAGACTTAAGATTGGTTTAGTACAACAAGAACCAGCCCTTTTTGCTGCTAGCATCTTTGATAATATCGTGTATGGGAAAGAAGGAGCGACAGAAGCAGAGGTTATTGAAGCTGCTCGAGCAGCTAACGTGCATGGTTTTGTCAGTGCATTACCCGAGGGCTACAAAACAACTGTTGGAGAACGAGGAGTTCAGCTTTCTGGAGGTCAGAAGCAGAGGATTGCCATCGCCAGGGCAGTACTCAAGGACCCTGCCATCCTTCTTTTGGACGAGGCTACTAGTGCCCTAGACGCAGAGTCAGAGTGTGTGCTTCAAGAGGCTCTTGAGAGATTAATGAGAGGCCGAACCTCTGTGCTTGTTGCACATCGTTTGTCCACAATAAGAGGAGTTAGTAGTATAGGAGTGGTCCAAGATGGGCGCATTGTAGAACAAGGTAGCCACTCCGAGTTGATCAGTAGGCCCGAGGGGGCTTACTCTCGCCTTTCACAACTTCAACTCCATCACGTGTGAGCAAGCAAGCACGGTCCAATCATAGCCGTAGGGGTGATATTGTGTAGCATTCGAGTTGCTACGATTAGTAAAATTTGTGTTATCTGCGACGTTAACAACCCGTCGGTTTTAGCTAATTCTTTTTCAATGATGGTGGTGGGTGATGGTGATTGCTGTAGATATGGGCATAGTAAGGCTATTTCTAGGTTTTTCTTTCTATTTTCTTGTTTAATCCAAAATTTGATTTCTGTATGGAAAAGAAATCATTGTATTATGAATGGAGGGTTCTGAAAAAAAAAAGGACTGTTTGCATGTGAGCTGAGTTTGGTTAGAGTTTTCTTGTAGGCTTTTTCACTTACTGGAAAAAGATCTGCTGAAGACCTTTCCAGCATAACTTAAAAAGCTCCCTTTTTTCTATTTTTTATGTTTGGTAACATGAAATGCATATTTTGGAGCTATTTTGCTTCTCTTTCTCTGACCAATTTCATGTGTTTTGCTACTGTATGATATGCACTTTGGGTAGCTTTAACTCAGACATTACAGTCGATCTATAAACATTAAACACATTTCCTTAGACGATTATATCAATTTTTAAATTCACTACATGATTACATGCTATTGTTTAATTTTTTTATAGTAACCTTTAGGTCTAAAGTATATTATTATTTTCTAATATTGAAAATAAAAAGGCAGACATCAACAACTAGAAACTGTTTGGGTGCATAATAATAATCTAAAAAGCTTACTTTATATTGAAATAAATTATTGAGTTACAACATAAAAAGATTGATTTAGAATATGCTACTTTCATGATGATTAAAGATTGTGGTATATGCTTAAAAGAGAAAAACATGTTATATGTCCATTAAAAGATGACGCATGTCTAAAGATAGAGCTTTAACAATCTTTTTAATGAGGAAAGGAAGATGATTAATGTCTGGCCTGATATTATATTATCATATAACTAAGTAGGATACTATGAGATGCTTTTGTACTATAGTATTATGGGCATTTATTTATAAGATTTTATGTATGAAAATTATGCATAATGATCTTTATTTTGGTGGGTGGAGGGCCCAAATGAGTTGCAAAACATAGAACTTTTTAGAGCAATGATTTATTTTTAGTGATTTTAAGTATGGTGGAAAATTATTGGAGTGTGCCACTTGACACCTTTTAGATTCATGAATGTGTTTGAGTTTGTAACATGAAAAACAGCATGAATTTCTTTCTTATATAAGTAGTGTAATAATATTAGACCTAGCGAGGTCATTGGAATTGAGTTCAGTTGAGATTTGGTTTGATTTATGTTGTAGTTGATTCACATTCATCATGGTTATATTTATATACATTGGAATCACACGTTATGTGATATGGTTAACTGTATTTGACACGATAAAGTGGTTCGATTGAAATATGTGTGACTTGACATTAAAAAAATAACGAAAATCACATATTAGTAGGGAGTCTACTTATAATTTGTTAAGGGAAAATTTAAACATCTTGTTAGTCTCTACTAGGCAACCAATGTCATAGTTAATAGCCCTGATCTTCTCATAGACGACCACTACTTGATTCAACATGACTTATTTTGGGTCAATTCTCATAGATGGCCACTACTTGATTCAACAGGACTTATATATGAGCCAATTTGGCTACCTAAATAACCGACATAAATTCAAATTGACATCTTAAACTAACTATTATTCTATGCTTTGGTTAATTAGTTTATAAAATTCTAAATTAAAGGTGACATGTTTATTTAACCTTCAAATTATAAGGACCCGATGTTGTTTGTGTCCATAGCTATTTCACTTTGGTTAATTAGCAATCAAAAGCTTGTTTTTATCAACTTATCTAGAAACTTTAAATTTGTTCTTGTCAAATTTATACATGATATATTCAAACCAAAAAGGTTTAATCAAAATAGTATATCAAATTAAATCAAACCAAACCATAAAAAAAATGTTCATAGTAGCCCATATCTGAATAATTATTACAAGCGAAGAAATCAAGTTTTAATTTAGGACAAATAAAATAACCGTCATCACAAGCTACAATTTATATAATTTCTTATAGGCTGTCACCTGCCAAATGAATAGAATGGTGTAATGTAGAATCTAACCACAAGGTAAAATGTTGTAAATAGATTCTGACCATATTGTAATGAAGATGGGCAATGCTCTCACATGGTACAACACACAAAAATCATAGATGATCCAAGAGGATACCTTGTTCTCCCGTGAGTTGGTATGTACCAGATTTTTCAGGGCCGTCTACTATTGTTGACTACAAACAATGACAGCTTGATAGGTCTATTTTTAAGATAATAGACTTGGCACATATTAGAACAAAATGGAGGATAAAACAAGAAGAGCCGGATATTTCTTCTAGGCACGTAATAGTTTATTATCGCCCCTCTATGAAACAACAGGGTTAACACGATAAAACTATTGAGGTACAAAGAAGAGACCAATTGATTTAGGTTGCTTAACTAAACCAATCTACAAGAAGTTTGTGAGCAAGTGTTTGTAAAACCAAGAGAAAATACTCTAGAAAATTTTCTCTCATAGGAAGCAAAATAAAAGATGTTATATTCTTAATCATCTTTTATCCATACATTCACAATAGATAACCATTGCTATTTATAGCGAATGAGGGATGTGCATAACAGAGAGTCCCTCAAGAGTTATGTCTTTTCACCCAAAAGAAACATCAACGTAAATTAATTATAATAAATATTATAATTAACTACTTACGTTACTAAATACATGAAAAGTTCGCAAAAGACATGTCTTTTACTCAATAAACATCAACGCAAATTAATATTTCACAAGTAGAAAAAATGACAAAGGCACCCCACCTTTGGCACCGGTTTTTTGAAAACCGGTGGTTAAAAAAACGGGCGGGATTGGAAAACAAACTTTTGGCACTAGTTCCAGCCAAACCGGTGGCAAATTATCTTTTTGGCACCGGTTCAAACTGGTGTCAAATAAAAAAGATATTTTTTTTTAAAAAAGGAAAAATATATTTGGCACCGGTTCATACCAAACCGGTGCCAAATAATGTATTACCACCGGTTCAAACCGGTGCCAAATTAATAAAAAAAACGTTTTCTTTCTTATTCCTTCTCTGCTGTACATGTGCGCTATTTTTCATTCTTTCGAATTCAAGTGTTTCTGAGCTTTCTCCATTGAACGGTTTCTGAGCTTTCTTACCTCCATTGAAGCAGCTGCACCTCTCTCTCTCCATATCTCTCCTCCATTGATGGTCGTGTTCTTAATTCGCAATTGAAGGGGATTATGAGGTTTCGTTGTCACCTCCATTGAAGCAGCTTTGAGGTAAGGTTTCATTCGGGTCCTGTTTAAAATAGCGAATTCCTTCGCAATCTAGGGTTTTTCGTTGATTTTCTTTTCATTTCAGTAGTATCTTATGTCGTTCTTGTAATCTAGGGTTTGACATTGTGCAATTCTCCATTGAAGCAGTTTCTGAGCTCCCTATCTCTCCTCCAATGAAGCTCGTGCTCTTTAATCTCCATTGTAGCGGATTCTGAGCTTTGTCACCTCCATTGAAGCAGCTTTGAGGTAAGAAATGATGTGTACAGTATTTGGGGCTATGTAGGGAATAATTAGAACTAGAAGGAAATTGAAGGAGTATGGCTGCATTGAAGATGATAACTGTCCTCTATGTGATAGTGCTTGCTAGAATAAAATGCCGGTATCTCAATACTGCTTCTGAAATGAAAGGTATGGTGTCCTTCCAACAAGTGTATTCTTCCGGTAGAGGGTTCAGAATTATTACAGAGTTAATTCTTCAGTAAGATCAAGTGATCGGAATGCCTAGGTGGAGGCCGCTTTCGATCAGTAATATCGAGGTACAATTGATATTACAGCTTAATCTTAACTGAACCCTTCTGGTCGAACCCAATCGAATCACCGATCCAAGACGACGAATTAATTCGAAAGGATTTAATGAGTCGACAGAGTTTTACGAATACAGACGTCGGATATCGAGCCTAAGGCGTCGAGACCGAGCGTCGCAAAATAACAAAGCTACAAGTATGAACATAGCCCTAGCAACACACTGGCCTAGCCATGTGGATGCTAGGCTAGTTCGAGCTAGCATGCACCTAGCATGGCTAGCGCAGCCTAGGCTGACCATCGTAGCCTAGGTGCACCATTGCAGCCTAGGCGTGCCATGACAGCCTATCGCAAGCACCATAAGGCACCAGGTAGCCCTTCGCAGCATGCGTGTTGGCTTGCGTGCTAGCCTTCTCATGGCAGCACCAAGCAGCGCACCATGCGTGTGCAAGGGGCCTGGGCGCCAACACGTTGCTAGACCACGCACAACAGCCTAGCATTGCTACGCACCAAGGCTGCTAGGCGATGCGTGGTGCATGATGCAAGGCTGGTGTGTGGTGCGTGGTGCGTAGCGTGCTGCGTGGTGCGTAGCATGATGAGAGGGAAGGGGCCAGCATGCGTGGCTCACTAGCGCATGCTGGATGTGCTAGCAATGGTGCGCAAGGTGTGTGTGCGTGCTAGCCTGTGCGTGGGCTGTTGGGGGCCAGTGCCATCACTATGTGCTAGCAGCGCTAAGCGCTAGCACACAGCACCAGCACCAGCATCGCCTAGCGCCAGCACGCATTGGCTTGCTAGGCTGCTGGGGCTGCTGGGCATGTGCTAGCTGGCAGCGCTAGCTGGCATGCTAGCTGGCTGCCAGCCCAACAGCTGTGTGGCGGTATTGAGGAAGGGTGTGGGGACCAAAATCCAACCCCTTGGGGAGCAAGGCACATGGTCCCCCCCACCTGGCCTTGGGCACTACTTCTTTGCACATGATCATGCCACTTGTCGCAATGTGATTTACTTGATTATTTATTTAATTTGGAAATTAAATAAATCATCGATATTCAACACTCCCACATTGGTGGAGGATGAAAAATCAAGGGTTCATTTCCCTATAAATACCAAGCTTGGGTATTTGGGAATGAACAACCTTGAGTGGAATTAAAAAGGCAACTCTTATTAAGAGTAAACCTTTGATTCGTAAAACTCATAGTTATTTTGTCCGGGTCTTGACTAACCTTCAAGACTTAGGACGCTCGGGTCGGGTCGAGGGTACGATCCGTCGGAGATCTCGTGTTTTCGGGATTTTTAAGTAAGAGCTCTTTGGGAGCGAAGCACGCGACAAAGGTGTAATTCTTGTTCTTAATCTTGTTTGATTAAGTTTAATGTGCTTGTTAATTGTTTTAATTAAGGGGCGAGTCTTGGTGGGTTTCCTTCCGCGTAGTGTCGGGTCACTACGAAACCCTACAGCGGTATCGAAGCCACGCTCCTTTTAATTTTTGCAATTAATTTTTTAATTAAGGTGTTTTAAAGGAATTTATTTTTCTGGTTCATGTTCTTCTAATTAGATTAGATGCTCGTTTTAATTATTTTTTAAAACTCGATTTCATTCTCGA